CCCCTCTCTCGCTTTTGCTCTCTGTTCGTGCATCAAACCAGTAACCATGGAATGCATAGAGACACTTGGACTGGGTTAGGTTTAATAAATAGGTAGAGTTAACTAAACATAAATATAGTTAGTCGTATAGGTTAAATATGTATACATACATAGTACATATAAAATACTGAGGGTTATTTTTATAAATTAACCCTAGCCATTAACGTCATTACAAGACAATGACTGACAGGGGGTGGCAGTGAAGATTCAGAATGGGCAGGGGATGTCTTTGTATTTATGTCTAACTAAAGGGGGTGTGAATAAAATTTTTTCTAAATTTTTTATTCATGGTTTATATAGGTTTTCACGAACACAATATAGAAATAAACAAGTCTATGCAACACGATTCAATTAAGTAAATAGATTGGGTCATAATTAATTAGTATTCGATACGATCTCGAAATAACACGACACGACTACCGCCGCTGTTTGGTATGGAAAAAATGAATAGAAAACAAATAGGAGAGAAAGTGATATTTTTCTTCTTGTTTAGTTAAAAAAAAAAAAGGAAAAATGTATCACCCCTGCCCACCAATTGCAACCCACCCAACTTCGGTCGAAAAACCTTAGAGAGAAGGTTGAAACATCATTACAGTTGCTGAACTTATCTTTATGCCCTCGAAGTGGCTGGCGGCTGAACTCTACTGGAAAAAACAAAGAAAGCAAAGTGGGATCCACATTCATTAGGGTATTTATGGTATTTAACATAACATATTTTTTTAAAATTTATTTTTCATATCAATAAAACAAAAAAAAATATATATCTTATTTTTTTCTTTCAACCGAATAAGAAAGAAGGAAACCATCTTTCTTTCTTCTAAAAACGAAAAAGTCAATTCCTCCTATTTTTTATTATTTCTATCAAATATATTATTATTATTATTTTACTCTATTTTATTTAATGGTAGATTATTTATTATGAATTTAAATAAAACTCACTTACCCATATATGATAGAAATTTGTCGTCAATTTCGATTAAAATTGAGGCTTAAGAATATCAGAAAAATCAAAATCCCTTGTTATGGGAGCCCTTGGTGCCGTTTCAACATCAATTCCTATCTATTGCCCCGCACTGATGAACCTAAAACTCAAATTCCAATTAAGGTCCGATATGGGAATCATAAATAGCATTTTCCCTCCTAACCAAGTCATTTTAGACTAATTGATCATTAGAACCGAGACATCTACGAACAAAATACACGGAATTTTCAAGCTGGTGTAGTAATCAAATGGAACAAATAAATAAATAAGATTAAGGTTATTAGAATTATCATGGTGAAAGTTTTTTTATCAGATCGTGGTGAAAGTTGATATTAGGGATTATATAAGACATGCATGAATTTAGACCTGTCTACTAATTTAAATCTAATTAGTCAATGTAGATTAATATTATTTGTAGCTATTCAAATCCAAGTCTAAAGCCAACTCTGTTGTATCATTCTTTACGAATTTGAGTTTGGAAATATCAATATCGAACCTCATTATCATCTGATCATAATTATAAATTAACAAATAATTTGATAAAATTAAGTCATTATTTGATGCAACTAAGTTAAACTCATTTTTTTATTCATAAAGTTTAAGAAAATTTGTTTTTTTTTTTTAAAGATTGGATAAGATTTTTTGTTTTTAAAAGACATACATGTAAATTGTAAATAGAAATCTGAAGGATATTTTGGACCACAGGGTTTTATTTGGATTTGAATTTATATCAGATACAATTTAATCTAAATTCGACCCATTAGTAAACTTAGTGAACTAACATGGATAGGTGATTTGTTTTGGTAATCAAAGTTAAATTAGTCAATTACAACAAACAATCAATATGAAATTTGCAACAACAATGTATGATTTATTTGAAGTTATATAAAGAAAAAATTAACACTATGTTTAGTAGGAGAGATGAAAAAAAATAGAAGGGATAAATTTTTCATTCTCGAAAGAAGAAAATATTTTTTATCTTCTTTTTGTTGGTATGATGGATAAACATTTGAGAAATTAAATTTTCATTGTTTGATATTAAAAAAAAAAAAAAAAGGGAAAAAAAACACATAAAAATTTGATTTTTTGTCGATTTTGAAATTAAATTAACGTGAAACTCACTTATCGTTTTGAATAAATTTTGTTGAGTTCGTGTTGTATTTCGTGAAGAGAATAACGTATTACATTCACTTACTCAAATATATATCCCAAATTTCTTTTATAAGTTGGGTCACAAATGACACCACAATTTTGTGTACAAATAAAAACTTACACAGGCTTAAGTTCAACCCACGCACGTGCCACCACACCCTGTTGGGTCAGGTGTGAATGTGGGTTAACCTTATTTTACTGGAAAAAGTTTGTTTGCCGAATTAGGTCCAAGATTCTGTACCTGTTGGAATTTTTTTTTGATCCAAGTACTTGTTGGAATTCAAATTTGAAATTTTGTATGTTTGAATTTAAAATTTTTTCTCCCATCCGAATTTGAATTTGTGTACGTAGACTTTTAGGATTCGGAACATTAGGTAGACTTTTAGGATTCCCAAATGTTCCATCCTATTTTAGGTTTCACAAATATAAATATAAAATCAAAGAGTAATGTTACACTGATCAAATTTTAAGACTAAATTTAGAGCCTAAATGACATGACAACATGTTATTTGATTCATGACACCAAAAAAAGAAGCTCAAGTCAGTTGTCATGTCATTTGAGCTCCAAATTTAGTCCTAAAATGATCACTTTAGCATTACCCAAAACAAAACGCTAGAAAATTAACATCTCTTTCCTATTTTTCACTCTCAACTTTTCATCCTTTCTATTTTCTCTCATACCAAAACAGGGGTAAAAGAAAAACATGTAGGTAATTCAACCATAAAGTGCAATTCTTATCATCACTATATCACCAACAGACACAGGTCCATAAAATAAATTGGTGTGGTTGCAATTTCTTCAAAGATTTGAGGCGATCGTTTCAATTTATTGAGAACTAGCCAATAGGGAGGTGCATGCACGCCGGCTAAAAGCTATACTTTTTGTCAAAATTTTGATTCATGCGTTGAATATATGATAGCTTGCTTGTTGGCTTGGTAATCCTAACTAAATAAGAATTTTGTTGTTATAGGTCAGAAATTCTGATGAGAATTAATTGTTAAGGTTGGTGTGCTTGACTGTTTACATGCATGTGTAATTGACAAAATTGCAAAGAATAGGACTATTTGAATAAAAATTTGAAGATTTAAATTTATTTTTATCGTTAGATTGACCATGATTTTTGGCATTTGATAGGATCAATTGTCAAGCTAAATAATTTGAAATTCTTGTTTTCATCGACCAATTTGTTCGGTTTTACCTTCGATAGGCAACGTCAAAAAAGAAGAAATTAATAAAGGGTTCAGAGGGAATGAATGGGAAGATCGACAAGTTAGAAGAAAAAAGGTTCTAGTTTTTTTAAATGTCAAGTGGGCCCGTGCATGTAAAATACTGTAGTACTTGAGATTATTCTTTGCCATGTGAATAATGTTGTTCTATATTGTGATTTAGATATTATAAATTTGTTTCACAAAAATAATGTTTTTGGTAGACATACAAATTTTCATTTGTTTTTCTCCTTTCTTGGAAGGTGATATTGAACCCACACTACGTGCATGTGTTGCATAAAGGGAAAGAGAATAACGAACTTAATTACTTTACATCAAAATACAAAATCTTGATAATCATTTTGTTTCTTAATAAAGAATGTATAATCTTCTTACGAAAAGCTTCATGGTCTTTTATTTCTGTTTTTCTGATTGGTAGTCTAGTGCTGGCTATGGTAGTTGAAGGTTAGATATGATGGTAGAAGGTTTGAAGAGCCCTGGGGGATTTGGGTTAGGGATTGAGTAAGTGGAGGGGAAGGAACCATACTAGAAGGTATAAGGCTACCTACAAGAGTAGAAGCACACCGTGGTTTGGTATTGGACTGCCGTTTCTAAGGTACTACCCCACATCCATCGTTACATTGCAGAAGAATATAGGGTGATCTCGAAAAAATATTTTATAAAAAAATAAAATTAAACACACCAAAAAATTCATGTCTTATAATGGTATGTCACATAATGATATATATATATATATATATATAATGTCACGAAAAGTTCATTTTTAATTTGCACACAGGGATCTACATTAGCTAAGAAATAATATCAAAACAAAAGATACCGAGTTGGTTAGCATTTTATGTTGAGGCGTTAATTTTAGCCTTTGACATGAATGCAAAATAAAATTACAAATGACGTGCCTGATTAACACAAATAATAAATGAGTCAAGTTAAGATCAGACATGTATAACTTGAGATGTTTTATAAGTTCTTTTCATTTTTTTAATTAATATCATATGAATTATTTTAAAATTAAATATATTATTATTAACACAAATACTAGCATGAATATGTTAAAAAATTAAAATGATGAAGAATATTGTTATTTAAACTTAATTTATTGTCATAACTACTAAATTGAGAATAAATTTTAATATTTATTAAAATTCATAAATAATTTAATAAATTATATTAGTGCGAATCTAAAAATGACAATAAAACGAAACGACAGGAAGTGATATCCCCAAATTCAAGGCATTGTGTGAATCGTGAAAGCCACTGGAGAAGTCGGCGGGGGCAGTACAGCAATTCCATGAAGTCATGCCGCAGTCAAATTTATTTACTTCCCGACGTGTGTCACGAAAAAAATCGTCGTATATATTCAACGGCGTCTCGAAACAAGCAGCGGGCCACAACATTCAAATCATGGTCAATAGTCAACACCACACATACATAAAACATAACTCACACATATATACATTCATCCCATACATAACACATGGGAATGACTTCATTCAAAACGCAACCGCCCCACAGGGCCCACATTAATCCCTCTCCTCCCTATATATCCCCCACCGCTGTCTCCATTTTGTCATTCCATTCCATTTCTATCTACACAATAATCGCTTCAAAAAATCTCAAATGGGTGAGGTTGGTCCCTTAAGTGATCTCCTACTTTTCTACCAGTTAGTCAATCACATTTTCTTCTGATTAGTCCTTGATATATTATTGTTGTACTTGTGTCGATCGACCCCTTTAGAATCTTCTAATGAACTCTGTACTTGTTGCAGAAAGATGAAACGAAAAAGGAAGGAGTGAAGAAGCCGGAGGGAGAGAAGATGGCCGACGCCGGCGGCAAGAAAGAGGATGGACCCATTACTGTGGTACTGAAGCTCGAATTGCATTGCGAAGGTTGTGCCAGGAAAGTCAAGCGCTATGTTCGTCATTTCGATGGTAATTCTTCAACGAAATTGATAAATGACCCGATTTTTGGGTTTCATTTCAACTAATAGTTGTTATGAAATTTGACGAACCCATGCATCTTGTTTTCTCCGCCACTAACTTGATGGAGCTGGGGATTAGCTAAAATTTAGAGCGACATTTAACGGTCAATAATTATTGAATAACATGGAATTTATACAAATTCATTCTGTATAAAACTCACTTTTTTATTTAGATTCAATTTCTGTCAGCATCTCTAATTTGCGAAGTGCTCGCACACTATGGGATCACAAGATGTATGCAGGGGTGTAATCAGAATACAGTTTTAGAGGGACAAAATATGACTGAAAAAACAGAGCTCCATCAATAGTGGAACTCATTATCAATCAAATAATAAAAAGTAATTTAGTTAATAACATCTTTAGGGCTGTCATCTCAAGTTATGACCAAGTCTCAGAGTATACAATTTTTTTGGATCTCTGCCTTATTAATGGGGTCCAACCCAATGGCTGGTGGTTGAAGGTGTGGGAGATGTAAAGGCCGACTTTGAAAACAACAAACTGACGGTAACGGGAAAGGTGGACCCGGCAAGCATTCGGGAGAGACTCGAACAAAAGATCAAAAAGAAGGTGGAGCTCGTGTCTCCCCAGCCCAAGAAAGACGGTGGTGCCGGTGCTGGTGGAGGTGGTGGAGATAAAAAACCCGACGAAAAGTCAGACAAGAAATCCGACGACAAAAAGAAGGATGATAAAAAACCCACAGAGGTGATTTTTAACTTCAAACATTGATATAAGGAAGAATTTCGGCAGATTCACACTTAATCGCTCATATCTTTTGTATTTGAAATATTACATATAAATTTTTAAAGTTTGTACGCATATAATACTTAAACTCTTGACATCAAGCATCGATCATTAAATATCGGTTAGTATATCAATTAGTAAATTACACTCAGATCTCTTGAAATTTGTAAGTATATAATATTTAGACTCCTTAAATTTAAAATGTTATACTAAGACTAAAAATATTCTAATCAAATATAGAATATTAAATATTTTATATTTTAAAAAAAAATTCATGTTTATTGTATCATTTATTGAAATAAAATTAAAAATAAAAATTTAATTTTTATTAAAAAATTATAATTAATATACGATTATATTATCTATGAAAATAAAATTAAAAAATTAAATAAGAGATCAAACTGTAATAAAAATAATAAATTCAAGCTTTGGGGATAACTTTGTAGTTTAAACGGCTAAATTAAATTTTTATAGATAGTATAATTATATACTAATTATGATTGTTTAAGAAAAAATTAATTTTTTTATTTTATTTTAATAAATTAAAATATTTAATATTCTATCTTTGATTGAAATATTTTTAGTCTAAGTATAATATTTTAAATTTGAGGGGTTTAAGTGTTACACACTTATAAACTTTAAGGGGCTTAGATGTAATTTACTAATACTTCAAATCGGGGTCTAAAAGTTTTATAAAACGTTCTTGGTGGAAAAAAATTAATAATAGGGGTCTAAGTACTACTCGCGTACAAATTTTAGGAGATTTGTGTGTAATATTTTAAACGTCAAGAAATCTGAGTGATTAAGTAACAAACTTCACGAGATCTGAATGTAATTTTCCATTGATATAAATGTAAAGATTAAATATGATACGTTAAAACATGTGAAAATATCAAATAATATTTATTATTGAATTTTTTCTGTGTTTTTTTTTTTGTGGTGGTTGTTTAGTCTCCGGTGAGTACAGTGGTGTTGAAGATTCGACTACACTGTGATGGATGCACACATAAGATCAAGCGGATCATATCAAAGATTGATGGTAATATACTAATTAAGATATATGTTTGTTTGGAATTATGGTTAGTTATTTAATTATATTCATTCTTAATTTATTCCTTTAATTTGTTGTATTAGTGGCATATGATATTAGCCTTTTTAAATGACTGACGGTGGTGTTTTGACGTGATGAACAGGGGTAGATTCGGTGTCTATTGATTCAGAAAAGGATTTGGTGACAGTGAAAGGGAAAATGGATATGAAGGACCTCATACCCTACTTGAAAGGAAAACTAAAAAGGAGTGTAGAAGTTATCCCGCCGGCAAAGAAAGATGATGGCGGAGGTGGTGAGAAGAAAGAAAAGGATGGTGGTGATAAGAAAGACAAAGATGGTGGTGGTGGTGGGGAAAAGAGAGAAAAGATGGAGGGGACAACAAAGAGAAAGGTGGTGGTGGCAACGATGAGAAGAAAGGCGGTGAGGCCAAACCCTCTATCAATGGCGGAGATGGCAACAAGGGTGGTGCTGGGGAGACCAAGGTTGAAGTGAACAAACTGGAATACTATGGATCCAATCCGTACACGTATTATAGTGTTCCAATGTATAATCAAAGTTATACATATCAGGATTATGGCATAACTATGTATGATCAAGGCTATACCGATCATGGCTACGTGGAGTACTCACACGAGCCGCCACCACTGGACTACTCGCAAATGACGCCGCCGCCACCACCGCCGCCGGCATATTTTCATGCACCTCAAATGTTTAGTGATGAAAATCCTAATGCTTGTTCCATCATGTGAAAAATCACAAGCATCTCATTGAGGTTGATAGTTCAAAAATTGTAAATAAAGCATATATATATATATAGCTAGGGAAAAATGCCAAGTATATATGAGAGCTTGTAGATGAGGACATTGAATTTCAATTTAGTCTATGTCATTAGGTTGTAGGAACAGGTAAGCAGCCGCCCAACCAGTTTGAATTCGATGTTTTTGTCATATAGTAATAAGGAATTAAATTTTGTACCATGTATTTGTATTTATATAATAAAATTGAGTTGAGTTTGAATTTCAAAATTGATCTCAAGTTTTTTGCAGTTTAAATTAATTCTGAACAAAGAAGAGGATAAATCCTATGGACGAAATTATCTTCCACTTTTTGCAGCTCAAATCCTTTCAAAAATGTTGATTCGATGGAGCATGTTCACTCTCAAATTTTGTTTTCCCACCCACAAAATTACCATTTATGGACACCTCTCACTCTCCCTAATAGACTTGTCAACGGATCGGATATAAGCTAGATTCTGTCATATCTGAATCCAAATCCGATTACAATTTATGTGATTCGATCCAATCCGATTATTCGACGAATTTAAAAATTTTAATCCATATCTGAATCCATTAACTTTCAAATATCTGGTCAAAAAATTTGATCTGATCCATTTATATACAAAGTACAAATATCTCATAAAGTGTACTAAATTCAATTCCTTACAACAAAAAAAATTATAATTCTTACTCATTCGAAGTTTTAACAAGTAACATAAACTAAATATGTCAACTTCAATTTTAATTATAAGTAGAGAAGAAGGTATTGGGAAATAATGGGAGATAAAATGATGTCATTGGATATAAAAAGTAAAAATATAAGGTATATATACAATTCGGATTGGATTATTAAATGAATGGATTTAATAAATTCATTAAATATAACATAACAGATTGGGATAATCGATAAAAATTATTAATCCATATTCAGTTAATCGGATTAGATTTGATGGTGTAATCAAAGGGATGAACAAAATTCGTGGATTATGGACCAGAGCTGCAAGGCTCGTGAGAGTTGCGGCTAAGGTTCAAAGGAAATCTGAGGAATTAACACAATACAATTATAGTGTTTTATCAGCTTGAGAGTTCGGCTAATTCACTCTTCAATGGAGTCTTCTTCTCCTTTAATCTTTATTCACGATGGACATGACTTACAGAGTGTTCTTGATGATACTAGGGTTGCTTGCCTTTCAATGGAGGCACTGTACAATATTTATAGTCCAATTCCTATCTTTACGGGATCTACAACGAGATTTTTTCCCTTCATTCATGGGTTCTCCCTTGATTTTAGGGAGATCTTTGGTTGGTTAAGTGTCCTGTGCCTTGATTATAGCTTCCCATTGCTATGAGGACACCTTTCATCAGCTAACTGTCCTCTTCTCAGTATCCTTGCTTGTTGGATTGCTGAGCTCTGATTATTGCCTGACCTACTGATCCGAGCTCATTACCTGAGCTCTTCTCCTAAGCTCAAAGGTAGAGTTTTTCTTGGTATCATCAGTTGCCCCCAGCCCTTGGTCTAAGCTGGCTTGGACTATGGCTGTATTAGGGCTAGGCCAAAGTAAACCTCTACCCATCGATCTCGATATTTGTGCGAATAAGTTTTTGACGGTTACAAGCAATCATTTCCTTTCTTGTTTCTTACGCGTGTTCCCCATTCCAAAGTCCCACATACCAGTAGCTTTAAATGCCTCTGAGTTGGTGGGAAACGGCTTTCACCCCATCCTTTGAATTTTTGCTTTCGATTTCTCTTCTTCCTCGCGTCCCCAATTCATCAATGATCTTAGGGTTCCGCTGAGTTGCTATCCTTCCTCGAATTGGCTTGCAAGACTTGTTCTTTATTTCTCGCTTTGGGTTCTGACTTGCCATTTGCCCTTGATTAGGTACGTCTTTTGCCCCTTGCATGTTTCTTCGTTCTGGATCCCCTGAACCTAAGGTGGTTATTTCATTTTTGGACTTTTCGATTTTGCTACTTTAGGAATCGAGATCTCTCCTTATCTCGTCTCCCTGTTTTCCTGGATCCCTATTCTATTGCTAGGATCTTCATTATTAGAAGTTGTTGCGTCGAAACTGTGATCATCAGAGAGTGTTATTCAGAGGTGCCTCTTCTTTATAGATCTTTTAGGCTCCCTTTTTCTTTTCCCATTATGTCTGCCTCCTCTAAAGCTACTACTTCGTTGGTTTCCCTCATGGATAGATCTCCTAAAACATAGGATTTTGACCTAGGAGATCTGGGAGAGGATATCGATAACTTTCTTGGCGATGGCTCTGTGGATACTGAGGAAAATATTGAGGAGCTTCCCTCCTCACCCTCTCCAATGCCCAAGACCCCCAATAAAGGTAAGACCAAGGTGAGTGGCTTAAGGATCTCGGATAGTGCTGAGGGTATAGGTTTCAGAGTTGCAAAACTTGTAGGCGCTAACGAGGTCATTCCTCCCTATATGAAAGTCATAGTTGCTAGCTTTGGCTTTCCCCAGGATGTAGGGTACTAGTGCCTAGATGAATTCACTCATTATAACACTGAGGTTCCCGATAAAACCTACTTTTTGTTATTTCTCTTGAGAACGGGCTTAGGTTCCCTGTGCACTCCTTTATCAAGTCAGTTCTTCAACATTTCAATGTCTGCCCTGCTCAAATCTCTCTTAACTTTGGGGGGGTGCTGGTGGGCCTCCTAGTCTTTTTCAAGAAAAACGAACTTGGTACCCCTACTATTCTACTGCTCATGAAATTCTTCAACGTCAAATTCAATCTAGACGGCCTTCTATACATTGCCAAACAGGTGAATATCCCCGCCCTGATTATTGACCTGCCCAGCTCTCATAAGAACTAGAAAAAATAGTTCTTCTTTATGTCAGAAAAAGTGTGGGAATTTGACCCCAATGACGCCTTTGACTCACTTCCAATCCCACGCTCTTGGGTGAGTCCAGATAACCTTGGTAAGCTTAAGGTCTCGTAACAAGGCCTCCTTATCTTCTTCTCGCCATAGCTACTGAGCTCATATCTTTGGCTGTTCTAGGTGTTCGTCCTGAGCTAGGAGTAGAGGACAAAAGGGTTTTACTCACCTTTAGAGACTGGAAATCTGAGAGGTACTCTAGTCTAATTGATCATTTCGAGCTCACCAGACTGGGTTTCATCTCTCCTGCGGTGAGGATTGAAGCCCCCATCCCTCTTTTCGTTGCAGGAGTTGAAGGAATATCAGGTAGTTTTTCTACCTTTGGCTCTTTCCTACTTTAACCTTCCTTTTCCTTTCTTTTCTTCTAACCCATTTATCCTGTTCTTCTCAGGTTCTTCATCAATGGAGCCCACCATGAAGGATCGCAAAGCTAAGGTGGATTTGATAAGGAAAACCCAGAGTGGTAATAAGTGTAAGGTTAAAGTCAGTTCTGGGAGTGACCCAGCTTCCCCAGCCAAAGTATCGAGGCAGTAAGCACCTCCTAACTCTCTCCAAGTGTCTCAAGTGGCATTTCTATCGCCTACGAGCTCCTAGAAGACTGCATAGTCCCCTTCTTACCTTCAAACTAAGTTGTTTGCCTCTGGAGGAACTCCTGGACAGAGTATAGTCTCGGGCTCTCCCTCCTCGGCTGAGGTCGACAAAGCTTTGGAGTTGGTCATTCATGTCTTACCTAGGTCTTGTCCTCCTTGCTCTTTCGAGAAGCCCTCTTAGTATCTTACCAAGGGTTTTAGGGATAAGATGAAGAAGCTCCCCAAAGTTGAGACAAGTGGAGGCTCCCTTATCGATAACGTAAAGCATGCTGCAGAAGCCATTACCTCTATCATCCCAGAGTCTGACATAAAAAGGGCTGCAACCATACCCCTCGGGACTTCCATTTCCACTACCTTGTTTGGCTCTTTTTCATTGGGTTTTTAATTCTTAGATTTTTCCTTCGTCTTTCCCCCTTTCCTCACGTTCACTTTAGCTCTTTGGTTGTGTTTGTTTCCAGATGGTCATTCATGTGAGTGGCTTATTGAAAAGGATCCAGGCTTTGGAGGGCTCGGTTAAGGCTTCTAAGGCTTTTGAGCTTAAGGCTTCCAAGGCTTTCGAGCTCAAGGTTGTCGAGTTGTCCTTTGAGAATAACGACCTTAAATCCCAGGTTCAAGACTTGCAGGCTCAGGCTGAAAGGTAGACTTCTGCTATGAAGAACCTGGAGGCTGAGAAGGAGAAACTCAAGATTGAGGGCAGGACAACCCACGAGGAGCTCAAAAAGACAAAGGAAGACCTCCCGCAAATGACTGATGATTGGATCAAGGCCAGTAAGGAGTCCCTTGATGCTCTGGCTTCCTTTAGAGATATGAAGAACGAGTATGATATTTTAGAAGAAGCGAGTGATGTTCTTTAGAAAGAATTCGAGGCGTAAAGGACTACCAATAAGGAGAAAGATGATCTGATTGCCAAACTTGCAGATGATGTTACTACCCAGTAAGGCCGAAGAGACCTATCCTGGTCTGAATTTCAACTTTGAGATCCCTACTGAAGAAAGAGATGAGGCAGCTAACCCTGAGGTTAGTGCTAAGTCCTTTTCTGCTCCTGAGGCAGCTCTTGAAGGCGTTATGAGGTCTATTTCGAGTACTGAGGTCTTGGCTCAGGATGCTTCTCCTTCCCTAGTTATGTTTGTGGATTCTAATGTTGATGTCATCTCTTCTTCCACCACTACTGAGCTCCCTATAGCTCCTACTGTTACCTCTGAGGTAGCCATCTTTTATGCTAATCTCATTTCTAGAGCTCTGGCCTTGAGCTTATCAGTAGCTACAGTTGCAGCCCCTGTCCTTCTACCTGCTCCTAAGCTCCCAGAACCTTTTGTTACTGTACCTCCAAGCATCTCTTCTTCAGAAACTTCAATTACTGACTTATCACATGCCTTTGTTACTGATCTTCCTGCCTTATCATCTGCTGAGCTGTCGAGTTCCCCTCCTCCAGCTCCTGTGGAGTCTTAGGAGCTCTTCCTGTTTTTTTTTTTTTATAAAGACCAGAACTTTTTTTTTTTGTAAAGACTATAACTTCTGTTTTGAAATGTAATACCGAGGTCAAGATATTGATGGCAATGTCCAATGTTTGAATGTTTGAAGTAAACTTCCCCTGTTACTAAGTTACTGTGCTCATTGTTTTGCATTGCTTTATATGTCCTTGCCCCCTTGCTTTAAGGGGTCCTTCA